AGAAGCGCTTCAAGGCTTAGATTCAACAAGGTGCTGGAAACATTCCTCAGAGATTTTGGTCTATATTGACATGACAGCCTCCCACAGTTGCTGCTCATCTGTGATACAAATCTCTTGTTACACGACATCCCAGAGGTGCTCTATTGGATTCAGATGTGGTGGCTCTGGAAGCGATTTACGCAGACCAAAGTCATTGTCATATTCAGGGAACCACTTTGACATTATTTGAGCTTTGTGAGATGGTGTGTCATCCTGCTGGAAGCAGCCATCAAAAGATGCGTACACTATGGTCTTAATAGGGATGGACACGGTCAGCACCAATACTCAGGCAGGCTGTGGGGTTTAAATGATGCTCACTTTGTACTGAGGGGCCCAAATGTGCCAAGAAAACTTCCCCCACACCATCACCGCCATCTTCATAAACCACCAAAAGCTGAAGGCAGGATAGCTCCATGCTTTCATGTTGTTTGTGCTCAACAGAACAGACAATGTCTTCCAGTCCTCTATTGTTCAATTTTGGTGAACCCCTCTATTTGAGAGCCTCATTTTTCCTCTTCTTAACTACCAGGAGTGGCACTGGCTGTGGTCTTCTTCTGCTGCTGCAGCACATTTGCATCCAGGCAATCAAATACAACTCTTCTGTCAGATGACACTAGCATCACAGAGATATGCACACATATCTGGTGACTGAAAGCATAGTGGTCCAAAGTAACAAAGGCAAAATATTACTGCTGGGATGTCGTGTGAGACAACATCAGACTATAAAGGTGCACCTTAAAATATGGCAAAAATGAAGGGATATTTATCAAAGCACATACTAAGGTAGTTCATGTGTCTTGAACGCAATAAATGCAAAATATTGTCCATATTTTTCCATCAGAGGCTTTAATTTTATGGATTGTAGCATGAAGGAATGCATTCCTGATGAATGAGCAGGCAGTGGTTCAGTACTGACCCCCCCTTGAGTAACCAGTGGCAGTCAACATCTGACAAGGTGTTAACTTTTGTTAGCATGATGTTTACAAGCAAAGTGTGTTAGCGCTACACTAAGCATTAGATGATTTGTTGGAGAAATGTCCAAAAACACTGCTGTACCTTTTATATGCCTGCCTTCAGGAAGATTTAATCACGTGGTGTCTGCATTAATTCGCCACAAAGGTTTGTCACTGTCAAACTGAAGCTCGCCAGTACAGATCTGATACTGTACTCCTTTGATATCTGATTGTGTTTCTTTATTTAGTAAGAGAAACATGTTTAGCTACAGGACGTGACTCAGAGATAAATTCCAAAGCCTTGTTTTTCATGAAAGGGACGCAAAATAGAAACAGTTTCTAAAGAATCTCAGCTTTATTTAAGCTCTTAGATTGTTTTCTTCTTTCATCTTTTTGTGATATATGCTGAAAATAACATATCAGGTAAAGGGCTTTAATCTCTGAATTACTTTTAGTACAGTTGTACTTAAAAAAAAAAAACACAACACTTTCAAGGTTGTGTTTTATTTTTAGATTAAAACAATCTCATGAAAATTCATGAGATGTTTTTCTATACAAAAATATTTCACAAGGTCAAAGCAAACCATACCAGAAATTACTGATAAACAATTGCCATCTACCAACCCCAATGATCACCAAATGATTTATTCCAGGATCTACAATTTTAAAAATAATAAAAGAAACTGGCAGCTGTGATTATCTAATATATCTGATTGTAGATCATCTAAAAAGTACAGAAATCATTCAAAAGTGAAATGCTGTTTTACGGTACAGAAGGAGATGATGGCTATTTTCAGGCCAGACAGACAAGATCTTGCCCAGAATTTTTTATGTCTTTTTTAATCTGCTTGTTCCAGAAAATAACCTTCACCTCTAGACAGAAATGACTGCATAAAACTGAACAGTGAAGCTTTTTGTTAAAAGGGACAATATCAGAAATACACATTCAGATAACATATATCTTGATATGAATATCTGAACATATCTGCCTAATCAAACCCACTAATGAGAGTACTGCAGTTTGTGTATTTGAAGTATTACAGACTGAATGCATGTGGTAACAGTTACGGGGGGGGGATGCAAATCAAATGTTTACTCTCACTGTATTTTAACACTACGGCCATTGATGGCATTTGACTGGCAAAATATTAGTTGACTTTTATAACGAAATGAAACCTGTTTGACAGTGTGCACAGCTATCGGTGCGTCTACAAAACTAAACAATGATCATTACTGCACTTTCTGAAAGTTGATCAGACGTTACAGGAACAAAAAGGGAGCAGAATGCTGCGGATGCACACCTTCTCGGTGAGGTGACTTCGTCCACTATGCCCTGCTATTAGTCATAGACTCGTGCTGTATTCAGCATAAAAGTGCACCATAGACAGGATAAAAGATGGATG